CAATTAGAGAAATGATCAATTAACTGAGCTGCTTTTGCAATGGAGCTTGCTAATCCTTGTAAAATGAAGATTCTTTATGTATGTAGGGGTTTAGATATCAAATTCACCCAAGGAACCTTGTCTGCCTTTATGTATGTACGCATTTGTAGGCAGAAGGAGAGAGATGGAGAGACAGGGAGAGATCGAGATACAACAAGCAAACAGATAAACCACTTCTGATAACCTAACAAGTCATCTTTGAAGTATCTCGGTCTTTTGCTATGGCAAGAAAATCCTTTCAGAGACCACCAATGCTTTACTGCTGTGTTTTATTCCAGCTGCTAATAAATTCTGGATTCTTACATTCATACTCCCTACATTTCCGATTTACGTCTCTATTTCAAAGTTCCCTTGACCTGTGTGACCAGTTCCAGCTCCCTAAGCAATGACCTTCGGCTAATGCCAGTCTATAGCCAGGAGAAATATGCCATAAAACTCTCCCCACATAATTCCTTCTTTAGACCTCAAACACTGAGGATTTGTTGGTGTTGGCAACGGCCTGTGAGCTGCTCTTATGCAATATTTTATTGCATGTCTCCATTTTCCACTAGTCTTGCTAAAATAATTTGTTCTCCAACTTCATCATTATATATGCTGTCATATCCCCACTGACACTCTCTTCTCAAATCAACAAGAGGGACATTTTACTAGGAAATCTCCCTAAAGATTTTCTTGGAGAATTCCCTCATCCCACATGGAAGACATCTATGGAAATCACCCACAAACCTGTCAGATCCTTTAGGACCTAAGGAATTTACAGGATGTAGAGGGATGGCTTTGACCCACAGCAAGCCATCCACTGCTATCCAGAAAGAATATTAGGGATGCCCTCCAGCTCTGGTTGTTCCTGGAGAAGGTTACATGAGAAAATGAATATAGCCTTGAACTCTAAAAAAAAGTCTCAGAATCTTTCACAATTGTCTCCCCAACCCGTCACCCCCCAACAGCAATCCTGCATTTATGCAGGCCTACAACTGTATGGACAGGGCTCTCAGAAGTTGGGGATGCATAAATAAGAAACAGCTTAAAAGATCTTTCAAGACTGCCTTCTGTACTACAAGCCCAAGCTGCACACCTAGAGAGCACTCCATGCACAGGCGGAAGAAGGGAAGGGACCTGGATGAATGCAGCAAAATGATGATCTGGAAAGAAGTAAACTGGCAACTGCATTGCTAGGGGTTCATTTTGCAAACTTATGCAATATAGCGTTTATGTGAGTAAACAAAGAGCATATGCAAAGAGGTGCAATGCAAAGCATATGCAAAGAGGTGTAGAGAAGTCTTTAAGTCATAAAAGACTGACAAGTAGAATTAACAAAGATATCAGATTCATGTGAACATGTTGTACTAAAGTTACTAGAGCAGATCATCTATATCAGGGATTGGCAACCTACAGTCCGTGGACTGGATGCAGCCCACAAAGCTATTTGATCTAGACCATGGACATACAGCTTTGGCAGCCTTCAGTGGTGGGGGCCTTTGTCACTTCCCTGCACCACTGCGAGGACAAGCAGTGGTGGTGACTGAGGTCCTAGAGTCCCCCCTGGCTATCTCGGACACAAATTAAGCCAATCTAGCCTGCAGCCTTAAAAGATTACTAACTGTTGATCTCATTTATAGTAATACTTGAATTTTGCTGTAGGGAAGGCTAGGTTAATTTTGCCGTTGTTTTCGACGTTCTATATTTGGGATGCTTATATCACTTTATAAAGTAAAAATATGTTACAAACTATTAGGCTGTAGGATTTTTTAATTTTATTTTAAAGAACATTTAAAATACACCTGTTTCAAAATGACCAGAATACACAAATAATGTTGACTGGTTTCACTTTTTAAATCTTGTAGTCTTAAAAATAACTAGGACATAATAATGTTAATGCCAATTTTTCAGATCCATACCTATCTTTGGATACTTTGATGGACTATTCAATTAGCACTGCTTGAATATGTGGCGCACACTACAGAATTTCAAATAAAAGCAACCCCCCCGCTTGAATGTTGATTTTTTTTGCCTCTGTGCAACAACAGATGAAACCATTGTATTTAAAAATATTAAACAAGGTGATAAAGCCTAAAAGTCACCGTTGAATCCCCAAGAGTCTGATAATTTGTCAAAAAGATGATAAAAAAGAAGGACGCTTTCCAAAGCAGACCCCAAATTTGACACACTATCTATTTTTCTTATGGCTGTCCTTAAAACTATGTGACACTGTTTAAATGCATCTTCATACATTAGGAAAATTAGCACCCCTGCATTGAAGAGTCATTGAATGTGTGAAGTTAAGATACTAAAAATAAATCCACTTTCACTTTTTTTTAATAAAACCATGAGAAAAAAAAACTATGAAAAAAACCCCAAAACATTCAAGACATCCTTTTAAACAAGTTTATTTAAAATATCCCAAAAAAGCCAAATGTAAATCATATTTATACATTATAGTTATTCTTAGAGATAATGAAATGCCTAGAATGCATTATGACTGTGAGAATAACCCCAGTAAAGTGGCTTATTTTATCTCAAACCATCATTCATTATCTGCTGCCCTCCCATCTTTTTTGTAATGAGATACCATATGATGCAATGTATCCAGCTTTGATGATGGAGGAGGTAATCAGAGAAAACGATTTTATTTTTAGCCTTGCTCTGAAATTAAAGATGTTGACAGAGCTTGGAAGTCTGCCGAAGGGGCATGGCCCGGCTGGTTCCTCCAGATGGATGCAAAGGAACAAAAGGAAAGGAATACTTAATTGTACTGGCGAGGCGAGGCGAGGCTCAATGCAAATGCTGCATTGCTAAATCCAGTGGCACCCATTCCAGGGCAAACTAAACTAAGACTTGACCTCTCCCATCAAGAAACTCATGGAAGGGGAGAAAGAGGCTAGAAAACTTCTCGCATCTTGTTTGCTTCCTCAAGGGTCAAGGGCTTGATGGCAGATACAGCTTCAATGGGGAAGGGTCTCCTAATACCCCAACATCCTGGGAATTTCTCAGGTCACAGGAGAGCTGTCTGCACTAGGGGCTCCTGATACCACACTGCTGCTCCAGCTCCCAGCTTTCCCTTAACAACATGCTTTCCAAGAACCATGCTGCTACTGGCCAGGCCCCCGGAGGCTGAACTGTAGAAGTAACAGGATCTAGGGAGAGTTAACACAGCTGGGAGCAGTGTTTCCACATGGAAATCCAGATGGTCTGCATCTTCTGTCCTGGATAGACAAATCATTACTCCCCTCGATTTACCCCATTCTGCATGAAGCATCCACAGGGTGCCCAGAATGGTGCAAGGTGCTATGAAGGCCACACTTTCCACCCCACTCGGGGACAAGGCAGAATATTTCTGCGTGGATGCGGAGGCATTGATTAACAACGCTGCATGTGTTCAGTTTGGTAACTTTCCCCAAGCGTGTTTGAAATGGGTTAATCTTTGCGAGGAAGTCAATGTTTGGAATGAGCAAAATACCTGCATTACTCCTGCACAAAGGATCTTCCCACTGAAATCCAGAGAGCCAAAACACAGAGGATTTGGAAGTTTCCATCAAAGTGATGGGCATTTTAAACACTTGAAAGAATATTTTCCAATTGTGAAAGCTGCTTCTTGAATTAACTAAGTTAAACAGAAATGAAATTCTTGGCAAACCAGGGTCAGGTTCCTGGCAGAGAAGTAAGTCCACAACAAAAGATGGAATAAGTCGTTTGATAATATCCAACATGCAACAGCATGGGCCTCTAGGGTTACAAAACTGAGTTCTATTAAAACTGACACACAGAGAAGGTTATGAACTGTTATGAGGAAGAAATAAGATTCAAATTTCCTTTGACCACATAGTCTTGTACTGGATCCCAGTGTTGCATGAACCTTCCCTTTGTATTCCCTCCTTGTCTAACAATGTTTATTTAGAGGTCCACTTGAATGTGAAAGGAAATTAAAAAATGTGTTCATTGCTACATAAAGTCCTGTAAAACCTGAATGGATAAATAATCTTTAAACTTTGGAATTAATGTGTTCATTCCTGTCTGAAATGAACAGCATCGTTTTTATAGCCATTTAAATTAATATGTTTCCACTATTTGAAGGTTTTGTACAAGGAAAGCTACTAATGTAATTGTAAAAACACTTACTTGGTCTAGTCCCAGGTCTATTTGTAGCGATTAGAAGAGTGCCTGGCCTATTGACAGGCACTGGAACATTGTTTCTCTTAGTCACTATTAAATGACTATCCACACCCTTTCTCCTACTCTCTGGTTTGCTTTCAACTCATTTCCTGTTTTCATCCAGGAGGAAAAAAAAATCCAGGATACTGCCAAGTTTAAATGTTAGCATTAAACAGAAGTCCAGTCAATCTCCTCTACCTCTTTCTTATAAAGCAACCTGTTTTTATTTATTTAGTTTTTAATACTCTGGTTTTTAATTCTTCTCCTAATACTGTGGTGGACACAACTACTTTTCTTATAGGCTAGACATTAACAGCGTTTTAGATGCTTAAAGTTATGTTGCTGGTGGCTTCTTATCAAGAGGAATCGTATTATTATTAAGGATTGTACTATGGAGCTTGGTTAAAAGAACGATAGAGCTAGACTGGCTGATGATAAAACAAATTACAATGAAAAAAGTTATTTTGTGAAAGATAACACACATTTGTATACACACACACACACACTGAAGACAAAATGTTGAACAAAGGAAACTATCATGAATTTAGTACACACAAAATTCTAGTCTCCCAGTAATGAAAGGCAAAGGCTACACCTCAATGGTGATATGCATCACATGCCTAACAAATAAAGAACATAGGATGTGAAAAAGCACACCTACTACAGTCCTTGAGCTAGCAAAAACTGTAACCTTAGATTTCCTCTGTCAGCCCCTCTCATGTATTTTTTCACTTACAATTTGCCCTCTGTGTATACACAGCTCCAAAATACACACACACACTCCACTGCAATCTGAATGTGAAATTTCTTACCTCCAATATTCTGGATGATTATTGTACTGGCCACAAGAACCTATAAAATAAATTATTTCGTTAGCAAGGGTAAGGAAAAGGAAAAACAGAACTTCTGCCTATATCAGTCATAAGATACTGATCATCTTGACCAAAAACAGATGCAGAAGTGATAACTGGAACTGAAAGAAAGTTGTCTTCTGATTCATGACTGTGGTTTAGCACACAGAAACTAATGTATAAAAGCAAAGAAGCTCTACTGAGACATACCACATTTGAGATGACAGAGTTGTTACACCAAGAAGTCTGCTCTGCAGATGGCTCGCCTTTAAAAAACACTGATGATATAATTGAGTTTTATTTGACCAAATTGCCATTCACCTCTGAAGGGAAAGTTTTATGTATTACCTGCCCATCCCAAAGCCCACAAACGATCACAGCGATAGTTCTGAACTTCACACAATCTTTAAACAGTTAGGAAGCGTCCTCTGAATCAGATTTGTAAATTTGCTGACCATAAAAGCATTTGTATTGAACCAGAGTGTAACCGACTTTCACAGGTCAGGGGAAAAAAAAAGGATTTTCTCAAATCAAGTTTCTCCGACTGGCATCTTGGTTTCCTTTCACTTTAATTCCAAAATGTATTACTCATTGTTTGGGGCCATGGTTACATTTGTTCCCACACAAAAAATAGCATATAAACACTGCGCTGATGGACACTAAGGGAAAACCAAGATAGAAAAAAATATATAAAAGCTAAAATGCTGTAGACACCTCTGATTAAAAATTCTGACCCGCATCTACATAGCACTTCAAAGCTGGAATTCCTACTTGTCAGGTACTTAAAAAAATTAACTTCTGGTTGTAATGTGTCATAAGTAGTGGAAACTAATATTATGTCACAACTAAACTGAGTAAAAAACCCCACAAGATGGTATTTATTAGATGTTTTTAAGCAGCATGGAAATCTTGCTACTTGCCAAGGCAAGGGTGATACATGTCCAGCTCCCATAAAAACTTGAGCTTCCCAGCAGCAAAATATCCAATAGCAGAAAACATGTGTTTTCATAAGCAAAATTAGAGAAATAATGTTGACGTACACCCACCTTATGGGCAACTTCACAGCTGTTCATTAAGGACTTGTATGACAGAATGGAGAACATATTTATAGACACCGCAAATGACAGCAAGCTGACACAGGTTATGAGCTTGTTGGAGAACAGGAATGCGATTCAAAATGAGTTGCGGGGAATTGGAGATAGAGTCCGAAATCAACGGAATAAGGTTAACGTAAGTGTAAAGCGCTACTTAGGAAAGAGCAATCAAATACACAAATACAAAATAAGTAACAGCACTGCAGGAAAGGAGCTTGGGGTTGTAGTGCACCACTAACTGAATACAAATCTATAATATGAGGTTGCTGCAAGAGAGTCAAATCTCATTCTAGGAAGCACCGACAGGAGCACTGTGTAAAACCCAGGAAATAATTATTCCACGATACTTGGCACTGGGGAGGCGACAGGTAAAGTACATCATTCTGCTTTGTGTCCCCGACTGTAAGAAAGATGTACAGAAATTAGAGAGAACCCAGCACAGAACAAGCAAAGAAGGTTTAGTTTATATGCCTCAGAAGGAAAGTTGGAAGGAATTAAGTTTGTTTAGTCTAGGAAACAGTACACAGAGGGGGGACACAGTTTTCCTATGTGGGAAAGGTTGTTATAAAAAAAGATGGTGATCGATTGTTCTCATTGACAATGGGGTAGAAAAGGGAGATCGGGACAAGAAGAACCTGGCTTTGCTTGCACCAAAGATTTTGATTACATCCTACACTAAAAAAAGACCTTCCTAATTATAAGGATAGTTATAATTGTCCTATATGTTAGCTAGTGGCCCAGGCGACTTAAAGAGGTTATGAAATTTCCTGTCTTGTAGGTTTTTAAGAATAGTTTAGACGAACATCTTTCAGGATAGTCTAGGTAAGACTTAATCCTGGTCTCGAAGTAGGACAAGATACTAAATGACCTTTTGAGGTCCTTTCAAGCCCTACATTTCTGGTTCTGATACCTCATGTTTAACACATGTAGAATGGGCAGAACAATGCAAATATCAATCTCATATTTTGTTACTACCAAGCTTTGCTGCTAGTTGAGGTAATCGATTTTATCTTCATTTTGATCAACTGACGTTGATGTCCAAAGACTAGAGTCATCATCTGCTTGTTAATGCTAACGGAAGTTATACACAATAATGAGTCAGATCTGAATCCTAGTTACACCCCAAAAAAAGATCAGAGTATAGCCAATTAAACTACTTCCCTATATGCATGCTTCTGTTGGGGTTTTTTTTTGGTCAACTTCCAGAAAATCATTTTAGAGGCAAAATATCATTAACAATTTTTGTAAATCAGACAACTTTATTTCAACTTGTTACAGCCCTGCTTTCACTGTCACTCCACTGAAAATGTATTCATAGTAATGCAAAATGTGTAAATATTTAATAAGCTTCCTCCCTGACCCCCACCCTCATTGAACACACAAACCCCCAAAGAAACACATATTACCACTACTAGCATTTTTTTTTTGCATGTACTGTACACACCATTGGACAAAGCTAGTTATTAAGCAAATGCTACCAATAAGCCATCCATTAATCGTTATGGAAGTAGCACATTTTTACTCTGGTTCCAAAAAGAGCCTTTAGGATGGATTCTCAAGAATAACTATTATTTTTCTGAAGTGATCATTACATTAATGGTACACGTCTTACATTCTGTCTGATTGAATTATAAATATTCACCTTACATCTAGCATTTACACTTAACTAAGTTTTCTTACTAAGGATGAAAGCACTGTGATAAATTACTGGAAGGGTCTCTAAACAGGTTATGGGGTAATAATGTAAAGAATCTGAATGTCGGCATATAACACTAGGAGCGGTGTATTAAGCGGATTTGTCGGTAATGCAAACTGGTGTGGAGTGACAAATACCAGTGCTGTATCTAGAAAATAGCACAAAACCAGACAATAACAAAGATTTCTTCACATTTAGACAGAATAAGCCACCATCACTAAGGACAGCTGTTCTAAGATGAACTAAATTTTTGGTCCATTTCTGTTTCCTGAATGGCAATTATGCATCAACAAAGCATTTCTCAGAGTTATAATAAAAACAAAGAGCTAGATGGACAATATATAAAAATGTTACCTTCCCGGGTGACCCAAATGCAAAGAGGCCAAGATCTTCGTAAGAAGTGACAGCTGTTAAAAGAAGAAAAGAAAAATCCACTTTGTTATTAATATCAGGTTCTCTTCCCTAGAAAAAGAAAACTATAGTATCTTATAATTTCCATTTATGAAGCCCTGCCTCCAGGAGAGCTGCACCTTGCAGTATCAAGGATCTGCAAGAACATTTGCAATGGAACGTGGTACACAGTAAGATCTGCACTTATGACCACCTTCATAGGTAATCCCCTGATTTATATTAAAGGATCCTATATGTAGCTTGGGTTTCAACTGAAAACAACCTCTAGTCATTTGCTGGAAACTCCAAAAAGGGTTCATTTGGAACAAAACAGTTTTTGCACCGTTGCTCTGCATTTTGCTACCAGAAATTCAAGTGTTTTCAAAAAAAGTGTAAACTTCTTTCTATTCAGGTGACATGAATGTGCAGCCTGCTGCTGCTGGGTGTTCAACCAGTTTCAAGAATTCAGAGGTTAAAAAAAAATGTCCGGCTTAAAACTACATAAATGTATTGTTCTAATACTTGTCTTCCTTCCTGCCCGGGGCAGCTGGAGAGTGCAGGCAGCTCTGGGCTGTCCTCACTCTTTCATCATAAAGCAAATAGATGCCCACTGCAATAAAACAGCACAAGTTATTGCTACCTTTGATTGCAACCACACTGCAGCCTGACAAAGGGTACGGACGTCTTTTTGCTTTCGCTTTGTGCCCCCATAGCATTTTTGTTTGATGGTGGCACAAAAACAATGACAGGTGACATCTGCTTCCATTAAGAATAAACCCACATGGATCAGACTACAGGACTGCAGCCTCGGATTGTGACGGTCTCAAGACAGAAGCAGAATCTTATCCGCCTGTAAAGCTCCAAGTCCAGCAAGATCAGTGTAATGTACAACAGAAAATAACTAATGCTCATTCTTCTGAGAAGCCCTGTGTTTTAGATACACCTCTCTAATACTGCCATCAACATTTATGCTAAAATAAGATGGGCCAGTCTGCTCTCAGTGTAAATGCGCTCCGTCGGCATTGGAGTTATTCATGTTCTGCAGTAGCGTAAGAAACCTGACCTGTTATGTTCTATTCTGTATTGTTACCTGTTCATATCTTTACACGGCATTTGATCATTTGAAATACAGATTATTCTAAAGGGCCAACTAGTCACTATACTTGTGAAGGGGTTCTTTCTACTGCTGCAGGAACAAATATGTAATAAATACTCATGGGAAAGGAACGAACAAATCATCAACAGAAAGAGAAAAGAAAGCTTATGCAAGAGTTCAGAGTTTCTGATTAAAGTATTAACTCTTTACCTGTGCTAGAAATGAAGTCCCGTGAACAGCGTGGCATTCTTAATTTTTCAAAAATATAAACATGCGTTTGATTTGAAAATATAAAGTGCAAAATAATAAACTGAATTGGTTTAAACACAAGAGAAGTCATCAAAAATACTTGATTTCTGAAACCCTGAATGGAAATCATCCAGTTATCATGCGGGAGGTTAAACCGATCATTACAATACTAGCAAGGCTGATGAATACATTCGTTAGACATTACATAAGATGTAGAAGCAGCTCAAACATTTCTACTCCTGCAGAATATGTACAGCTTTTTGACAGGTTAGTCCCCGAAACAGATAAGGGTAATAAACTATGCTGAAGAATGGTAACTGGTGATCAACACACAAAGCCTGGGTATAAACTACAGTGGCTATGTGCTAAGCCATTTGGTCACTACTAGCAACTAGACTTAATGTCACAGTGTCCTGGGTACATATCACTAAAAAAAAAAAAATCAGACATGATGACTAAAATGTCTGTGCTTAATACAGCTCAATCTCTGTCTATAGTGCAACTATTAGAGAAGCTTTACCTGAAGTGGCAGATGTATATCGTTTCTTTTCTACATTTGTCCCCCAACCCATCCGACCATGATGTGATGTTGCCTTAATGGATAGCTTATGGACACTACAAACATTAGGATTTTCATTCATTAAAAATGTTTTCCCAACTCATGGCTTAATGTTAATTGAAACTAAAGCCTCTTTCCTTCTAATTTTGGACTATGTCTTAGCCTATTATCGTGCTGGCCATGAAACCTAGCCTGCTGCAATTTTTTTTTCTTCTTTTTTAGTTGGTTGTTTTGAAAAAGGTATCTAATATATAAAGATTTCGACAGATTTCACCAAGATAAAAGCCTAGCAGATCAACTTCATAACCTTTTAGACTTAACAATTTCCTATTAAAAGACCTGGAACGTTCTCTTACAGAAAAATTACTTATTTGTTCTAGAAGAACTGCTGACCAAACTACAGTAAGTGTAAGCCGAGAGTAATCACATGAAAACACTGAAGCCGGTAAATCTAAAATCAAGGAATTTGAATAAAATTTCACTTAGTGCAGCACTGAAGCATATTTCTGGTGCCAGTGTAACCTAACAAGACCTTAGCTGATTAACAATCACTAACTGAAAAGTCTGTCATCATGTCATGATGGTGGTGCTTCTTGCTTAAATCAATCTGTACTAAAAAGGCTGCCTAGACATGTAACATTACTCTTAGATGATGATCTGGAGACCCAGGATATAATGATGGCTTACATCTTCAAAGTTGACAACATTAAATATTTTTCTCTCTTTTTTCCTTCCTTTTTTTTTTTTTTTTAAATAGCCTTTTCCTCCTCCCTTCCCCCCATCCATTTGGCTTGCCTCCAGCATTTCCTTTGCAATGGGCTGTCCATGAAGATAATTACTAACAGCATCCTAAAAATAATACCACTTAGCATGTATAGGAGTTTTTCCATCCGCTCACTGAACTCATTATACAAAGCATTATAAACTAATGAAACTAAGAAGTTTTATTAACCCAGTTTCAGGGATAGGGAATGGACAAAGCTGAGAGACTTGGGGCCAGCTGCAGGTTCACCACTAGCCTGTTGCAAATTTACCGCCAACCTGTAAACAAAATTTGCATCACCTAAAACCCAGTCCTATTACCTTATGGATACCTCCCATGAGAAATCTTAAATATATCAAAAGATTATGAAGAGTCGCGCATATATATATATATATAAATAAAAATCACCATTACCACAATAAAGGGCAATTTTCAAAACTTTTTACTCTTAGGCTACCTACTGAGTAACCCAAATCTTGTAACCCTAACTCACTAGAGAGAAAAAGATGACCACAATTTAGTGCAAAAGTATCACGCAGTCAATAATATCTTACAGAAGCATAACCCTACCTCTGCTGAAAATATACAAGACAGGAGCAGCTGTCTCTTGAGCAGAATCAGGAAGCAGTCATCCAAGTGATCAAAGGTAGTTATGGAAGACAAAGGCAATAAGGAAAGAGAAGTTTTCCTACCATCCTTAAGGTGAAGAAAAGAGAACAGATGGGAATGATAAGAAGGCAGATGATTAGAGACAGAAACTTCTTGCTACAATATAGATCACAGATTAAAGGGACTACCTTAAGGTTGCAATAACAGTTTTACAAAAGAAAGAATTAAAACCATTAGGTAGCAGAAAATGTGAGGTTATTCTTTGAAATCTTTACTAAATAAACCGCTTAGAACTAGGATAATTTAATACTTTATCGCATCACAATCAGATGACATTCAGCATCAGACCATTTTTAAGACGAGAACCAAAAGTGCATACGAAATGCAATGGGGTGGATGATGATCCAATAAGGTCACTAAGGCTGACAGGTATCCATACGCAAAGTGAACAAATGTAGATTACAAATGCAGGCAGGCAATCAAAGGTTTACTGTTACTCCTAACATTTCATTTATAAATATATAAAAGGTTGTGTGGCTGCTTTTCCTGAACTGATCCGATCTAACAGATGTAAAAACAGTGCTAAAAGAAACAGGACCTTTCATTTCAGGATTACTGAAAGGTTGCAAGCTATTCTACTTTTCATAATAATCAGAAAATGTAAATTTTTATCTCAAGTGGTTTTGAGTTTATGGCAATACTTCAACTCTGCGTTTACGTGCACATCTTTACGACAAAGTAAATAACGAAGAATATGAAAACTTAAAATAGTGCAGCTTGAGTGAATTATGCATTATATCACATAGGAAGACACGGTTATAAAAATGAATTTGCACGGTCACGCCTTTGACACGTAGAAGAGATACAAATATACTACAAATTAATGTTCTGCGCATGTTCTTCACTTACCTGTCTGAATGCACATATTAAGCAGCAGAAATACAGAGTAAGCAGCAAGGCTGGCAACAATCAGCAGCAAGATACTAAAATACAAAATATTGACGTTTTAGGCAATCTCTGAAATACAAACCTTTTTTTTTAAACAGAGATTTTTTCACAAGAAAGAAGCTATCACGAGACAGGATTTCCTCATTCTGTGGCTGTCTGCTGACTATAGTTCATACGGTTACCGGCCTACTCAGCATTTGCGGTTTCCTCACTCTTCACATTGTTATCTCCGTTAGAGTACATTGCCCACGGAGGGCAAAGGCAACCTATGTTAATCCTTTCAAACCCCAACTGAGATACACACATAGTAAATCTGGGATATGCGTGCACATATAAACTAGCAAACTCGACGCTTATGGAAGGAATCAGAGGGACAACCTGAAGCGTCCCAGCACCGGGAATGGAGCTGACCCCAATGCATTGCTAGAGACAGCAATTTAAGCTGGTCGCCACGCGCACAGGCCGGATTTGGATACGTAACACGGGAGCCGAGAGCTTCACTGGCTAATGGCAAAGGCACGAGCCATCCAGGTCTTACGCAATATAACTCGTTTCTCCCACCCACGAGCCTCCGCAGCTCGGTTTGCTCTTAATTACCCAGGGAAACAGGTTACACGCAGCAATGGGAGCTTTCTTTTTTCTTTCTTTTTCAATTCATTCGGTCTTTCGCCGGGCGTTGACTTACCTAAAACCCATGATCCCCGTGTTGGCCATGGCATAGGACAAGCCAAGTATCCCGCTTCCCATGATGGCGTTCATTAAATTAAACACTGCGAAACCAAAGGAGCTCCCGCGATCCGGGGGCGCCTGCGAACAGAACAAACGCACCCAGTTAGCAAAAAACAAGCGAGTCAGCCCTGAGGCTGCGGCTG